ATTTTCATCCCTCCCCCCCTTTATAAATACGAAAAAAAATAACGTTAAACGAGGTTTTAATTTCAAGTCGCCTTAGTAAAAAATTATTCTGATAGTTCTTACTAACAAAGATTAATAAATTGGTGCAAATTGGAATGTATTTAAGCTGCTCGCACCATACATTTAGATTAAAAAAATATTCACCTTGGATACATTGACTGTTTGCTCATGATCTCACTGATCGGAATTATTCTCCCACTACATGAAAAAAATAAAGACTATATCAATATATTGCAAAAAATATTAAAGTTCAAGATTATAAATTTACCATGCACAACGATAACAAGGTTCTTTGACAGTTAAAGGCTGCTGGCTCTGTCCACGGTCCATTGTTAATATTGTACGTACGTGCGTGGTTTTCGAATTCTTTAAATGCTTTGTCTGTATTCTGATTGGTTTGTATCACGCTTAAATTCCTAACCAATAAGAATGTAGAATCTTGTAATAAGATTATCAGATATGGTTCTGTGGTTTGGTAACTGTACTATTTTTCATTAACAAAAAAGATGTCTATTGATCTAAGTTTCTTCGGCAGCATTGATGCGGCGATGGAAGAGGAGGCAGCGAGAAAAGAAGTATGCGTGTCGATTTCAATATTTATTGAACTAGGGTTTCCCTTCTAATGCAGAACCTTTATTAACATTAGCCCTTTGTTTCTTCTTAAAAAGGAGATACTTCGGTTGGTACGAGACTTTGATAAGACCTGTCGTATGATCACTGCTATTTTGAATAGAGTTCATTCCGCTCAAGCCAAAGAAGGCAATGCATATGTATAATTCAACATTGCTACATTAAATTTTGTACTAACCGTAAATTTGATTATAGTACCAACAATCGGTAAATTAGCTATTGATAGATTTGGTGAAGTTAGACAACACATGAAAAATCTTACTCAACTGGTGCCTTCTCAACAATATTACAGGTTGGTTTCGTGATGTAAATTTGGTTATAGTTTTACCAGCCAATGATGATATATTATTATTTGGGTATTAGATATAATGAGCTTTGGAGTAGAACAGTTCAGAATTCACTTTTTCTTGCTGCATTTGCAATTTATCTCCAATCTGAAAAATTGATAACAGCAAGTGAAATAGAATCATTGCTTGGTGGTAAGTTTCAATACATATAAATTTCTTGCATTATTCGTTTCTTTAATTTTTTTTCTTTTTGTTTTTAATGAATACAATGGCATTGATAAGCCAAGATCAATTTAAATAATGACCTACAGGACTTTCACATATCTCTTGAAGAATTTCTTCATTGTTTTATCACTTTAACTAATGAATTGGTAATGTTTATTCGATCATATTTGATGAAAAGTTCTATTGTTGATCTGACTATAATTTATGAGAACATTTCTTCAATGTAGTCTCGACTCGCTATCAATTCTGTCACAGTTGGTGACTATAATCGGCCTCTTCGTATCTCAAATTTTGTTCAACAATTGTATACGGGATTTCAATTGTTGAATCTAAAAAATGATGCTTTGAGAAGGCGTTTTGATGGCATAAAAGTATGTAATTACCATATATAAACATTAATTTATTATCGATATTATGACTATTTTGTTTACTTTTTCTATTTTTTCCTAAATTTTAATGAAAGTATAACATCAAAAAAATCGAAGAAGGTACGTCGATTTATTCATATAAATGGCTACAATGTTTCTTTCCATTCGTTACTCACGGTCTTCAATTAAATTGGTAGTTGTATACGATATATCTCTCAGGAAATTGTCAGATGATACCGAGATTAAATACAAGAGTGAAGAATTGTAATCGGCTTAGTTTGAACTACATGGTTAATTGTTTTGTGAACATTTGAAACATCAATTCAATAAATTGTTTATGTTTGGTACTATTCAGAATTATTCAGAATCGAATTCAAGGTTTTTATTTTATTTTGTTTTGAAATGTATATTCAACAATTATGTGATACGAATTTTTAAATCGTGCTTTGTTTTAAGAATACATGTGATGCAATGTTTATTTTATTTTATTTTATTTTTTATCGGCCGACAAATTGGTAGGGAGTAACATACTCTGGTGCACTCCCAAACCAGAGTGAAAGAAATTATAAAACTTACTAAATAGAATATTCAAACCGGTTTGCTAAACTGGAGACAAAATATATATGAATTTATTACTCCAAATTAGTTTGAGTTAAATCTAATTTTGTCAATCATTCATTCGGCTATATTAATCGACTTCGGCCTGCATTAAATTAATCTTGAGGTTAATGTTAGTTTAGGGTTATATTAGGGTCAAATTAAAGTTAGAAGAGGACTTAAACTAAGATTTATGCTAAAATTATAAGAGAAATCTTTAAACCAAGATTTATGCTAAAATTATAAGAGAAATCTTTAAACCAAGATTTATGCTAAAATTATAAGAGAAACCTTTAAACCAAGATTTATGTACGAAAAATAGTTTCATAAGCAAAATTTTTCTGATTGCGATTATATAGTTCGACGCCATCGAAATTGCAGGTCACATGATGATCTTTAGAATAATGCACGATTACATCATACGTGAGATCCGCGCCTGCACTTTCGATGGTCGTGTTATAAGTTTACGTGTATTGGTGTTTTAGATCTAAAGATAATCGATTTAAAAATCTCGCGACGTGATTTTTATTATTTAAAAGATCATTATATCTAATACCCAAATAATAAAATTATTTTGTAATACTAATATCCTGATCCGTTGGGAATTAGTAAAACTTTGTTTCCATTTATTCATATACGGATCAGGATATTATTCATTAATCCCCCGTGATCTTGAAATAGTAATCGGGGTTTATATTGAATCTATTACAAACGATTCTGATCCTAAGGCCTATGCCATTACCCAACAAATAAAATTTGTTCTCGTTAATGAAGATTTCTCGTTATTCATATTACTTGCGTAATCGATTTGGCTATGAGTATATAATAATGTTACAATAATTTTATGGCCTCTTATATATAGCTTGATCAATAATATAGATTAAGGTAAATCCAAAAAAAAAAATTTTATGTTTTTGAAAAGTAGTCCTGTAAAAATATTGATACTAAATTCTTTAAACGCTTATTTTCAAATTGGGCCAAGCGTTCTAGGCGTTTTTTAACAGATTCGGACAAAATACCTATATAAAAATAAGTAAAATTTTAAACTTGAACTGAGTTTAATAAACCAACACGAACGTTGTACCTTCATTTTCTTCACTATCCGTTAAAAGAAACATCAGGGTTGTGATCGCAGAAAGTATTATCTCCTCATTTTTATCATATAAACATTGAATTATTA